AGAAAAGTGGTAATACTTTAATGTACCCAGCATCCTCACTCTTAGGATCAAGATCAAGATTATAGTCTGTAAAGGCAATGGAAAATGACTGGTTTTATTTTGCTTTTTCACTTCACATTTGATGGAGAGGTATTAGTTAATATGTTTTCAGGTTTTTATATGCTTTAAAAAATGTTTTTAAGATTTATTTATTTATTTGAAATTTATAAAGAGAGAGAAAGCAAAAAAGAGAGAAAATCTTCCATCAGCTGCTTTACTCAGATGGTTGCAACAGCCCAGTCTGGCCAGGTTGAAGCCAGGAGCCGGGAGTTGCTTCTGCATGTTTTCACCAGGCCCTGAGCAGGGAAGTGCATTACAGCTGGAGCACAGTGGGACACCATCAGGGCAGCCCATTTGGGTTGCTGGCAGCCAGCCCAGGCAGCACCTTTACCCACTATGCCACAGCACTGGTTGCTGTTCTTTTTGCTTTAGTTTTAACTCTTCTTACTCGATGATTTTAGAGTTGTCTTTTATCACCTTGTAGAGTTTTGTTTTTTGATGTTTTCTGAATGTATCGGTTCTTAGGCACAGGAATTGCACGGAATTTATTGAGCTGCTTGGCCCAACTTTTTTAGCAACTCTTTTTGAGGTATAATTAAAATACACACAATTGGTATTATACACTGATATTTACAGGGTACCATTTAATGGGTTTTATATATGAATACACCCGAGGTTCACAATTAAGATAATTAACATATGTTTTTACTTCTAAAAGTTTTCTAAATTCCTCTGACCAATCTTCCCATCTACCTGTCGCCCTCCCTGCCTTGGGGTAGCCACTACATCTGCTTCCTGTCATTGATTAGTGTGCACTTTCTGGTATTTTATGTACTTGGGATGTCACAGTGTGTTCTCACCTAGAGTCTCTTGACAGAGAGAGCCTGACTTCTGTCAGATTGTGTATATGTTTTGGGGATTTATTGAGTTAAAAGGTGGAGACAGAAAGAGAATCTTCACTGCTGAAATAGACTCATTGGCTGAGGCTCCCTGTGGGTCTCCCATTGGCTGAGGCTCCCTGTGGGTCTCCCATTGGCTGGGTCTCCCATTGGCTGAGGCTCCCTATGGGTCTCCCATTGGCTGAGGCTCCCTGTGGGTCTCCCATTGGCTGGGTCTCCCATTGGCTGAGGCTCCCTATGGGTCTCCCATTGGCTGAGGCTCCCTGTGGGTCTCCCATTGGCTGGGTCTCCCATTGGCTGAGGCTCCCTGTGGGTCTCCCATTGGCTGGGTCTCCCATTGGCTGAGGCTCCCTGTGGGTCTCCCATTGGCTGAGGCTCCCTGTGGGTCTCCCATTGGCTGGGTCTCCCATTGGCTGAGGCTCCCTGTGGGTCTCCCATTGGCTGAGGCTCCCTTTGGAACTCCCATGTGTGTGAGTTACCCAAGGACTTGAGCTATCATACGTTGCTTTCCCAGGCACATTAGCAGGAAGCTGGTGAAAGTGGAGCAGGCAGGATTCAAACCAGCATTCCAATATGGGATGCCGTCAGATATAGATGCCCATGTCACATTAGCTCACAAGTAGAAGCAACCCTGGTATCTGATGAGAGAATAAATAAGCAAAATTTAGTGTATACATATGCTGTCAGGACATCGGACAAAGATTAATTTTATCTTAAAGCTCGAATTTATTAAAGGTTTTGCTGATTTTTTTCAAAGTCAGAAATAATGCATAGAGTTCGAATTTATTAAAGGTTTTGCTGATTTTTTTCAAAGTCAGAAATAATGCATAGAGTTCAGTTCTTCAAATTTAAGAGCTTTAGCCCCTATAACTTTGTTTGAGGAACACTACTTAAGAAAAAGTAAATTCTGTGATCACAGAGTGAATTTGCTGAGATGACAGTTTTAAGATTTTACATGATCACTAGCTGTTAAGACTGGGAACAGCTGTGAGTAGCTTTATCCAGACATGGTGGCATAAAGCACTGACTTCTTGAGCAGCGTGGCGGGCCTTGAGAAAGAATCTTATCAAGGACAGATCATTAATTCTCTGAATGATGCTGATTGATGGGGTTTTGAGACTCCGATCAACATTTATTGATGAGAATGCCCTGAGCACCCATTATGGTTTAGACCCTCATGAGTTTCCATGGTGAGTTAGGCAGTGATGGGCTAGGAAAGGGCAGGAGGAGGGGCTCTGGGTCAGGAAAAGCTTCTTGAGGGAAATGCTTTTAAAGGGAGATCTGCAAAATGGATTCTTGTGAGCCCAGTTGCGGCCAGGCAAGAAAAGAACAGTGTGATTGGAGCTGGGAGGTGTGGGAATAGCGGGAGAGAAACATGGTCTCTCAGGAGGGCAGCTCTGTCCCAGTGTCTCCTTGCCTCACACAGACTTTCCTAACGGCCTGGAGGGTGGGGGGTTGAAAAAAAATTTTTTTAAGAACCAGGATATACATTTGTGAATTATGGCAGAGATGCTTATAAAAAGAATAAAAATGAACAAAATTTATGTAACAAAATTAAGCTCTGCTTAAAGAGCTTAATAAGAATTTCAGTGCTGAAGAATTTCAGACCAAACAACAGAAATAACCAGCATTTCAGAGCTAATACCAATGATAACACTTATCTTCCACATCCCATAGTCATGGAGCGACCTTCAAGTGCTCTCTCTGTTCGAATTGAGTGGCAATTCCAGCATTATGTAACAGTGCAGAATCAAGTGGTGTTTTCCAATGAAAGAATTTTGCAAGTATAATGTGTCTTACTATTAAATTCTACTTGTACATTTAGCAATTAAAATTATCCCTCTGATGATAATGGCATAAGAGGGGATAGGAAGCTGTCAGCAAGGATTTGAAGCTTAATTATCTCTTGGTAACGGAATGCAGAATCTTCCATTACAACACTTATTTTCTTGTGGTAATTGACTCATTTGTTTCCCAGTTATCAATTTAACTTCCCCACCACAAACATCTGCTCTTACGTTGTGTGTAATTGGTGTGAACACTACAGCCGAGCTAGTGCCCAGAGAGCATTTTTAAGGGCATTATTTCGTGATTTGTGAGAGGGGAACATAAATGAACAGTGTGATATTTTTTTTTTCTAGTCAAAGTCTGTTTAAAAAAAAAAATCTGAAAATTGTATCAGTTTTACGTTTAAGAGAATTTTTCTGTGTCTCCCAGAATTAATTCCTGTGCCTTTGGGGGAATACCTTTGGTTCGTTTAGACTCTAGGAATATGTAGTTCTTGGAAAAGTAAGGCCACAGTAATTAGAATTCAGGCTTTGAAGGTAGAAGAATAGTTCAATGTGTAATTGTTTATCATCTGAAAATAAATTATGTGTTTGTGTTTGATTGTAACTTTTAAAGATAGAAATGTGTGGGGAATAGGATCCCCAGCAAAGTTTGTTTCAAGTTCTTGAGGGAAATGAGAGAATTCAGGATAGACATAAATAAAATTGCAGGAAGAAAGATTTATTTAAAAAAGAATAGATTTGGGCCCAGCATGTTGGCATAGAGGCTAAAATCATCACCTTGAAAGCACTGGGATCCTATATGGATGCCGGTTCTAATCCCAGCAGCTCCACTTCCCATCCAGCTCCCTGCTTGTGGCCTGGGAAGGCAGTCGAGGACAGCCCAAAGCCTTGGGAGCACTCGCATGGGAGACCTGAAAGAAGTTCCTGGCTCCTGGCTTCGGATTGGCACAGCACTGGCCGTTGTACTCACTTGGGGAGTGAATCATTGAATGGAAGATCTTCCTCTCTGACTCTCCTCTCTGTATATCCGCCTTTCCAATAAAAATAAAGTAAATCTTTTTTAAAAAAAAAAAAAACAGTAGATTCATGGGCCTACCACAGAGGCTCATGTCAACAAAATGTCATGTGGGAGAACTAGGACTTGGCTGTGGTTCCTAACAGCTGCTTACATTCAGTTGTTACTGAGGAGTATCCCAGAGTGAAAAGACAAAATTCCAACCAAGCGAGTTAGACGTTTGTCCATGACTTACAAATCAGGCAGTGTCTCATCTGTCTCAATCGTAAGCACCACACTGGGCCTGACTATCAGGTTGGTAAGGTGGCTTGAGCAGAGATGCCTCCACGGCATCCTATACAAGCAGGCTGCTTTGGATCATGCTGCTTTCCTTGTAGGGGGAGTTTCCAGGCAGAGGATTCCCCCTTATGTGACTAAAATGGGGTTCTTTGGGATTTGACTGCCATCTCTACAGGTTTCTTGGAAGGTCAGGAAACAACTTAGTTTTGTGGTCAGAGTGTGTTTTTGGGAGGAGGGAGTGGATAGAGTTGAATTTGTTGGCTTGGTCCAAATCAATTGTATTTAATACAGTCTAAGTAATCTGGTTGTGACTTGGGAAGACTCAGGATTGCAAATGCTAGAGCGTGTAAGAAAATTCACGTAAAAATGGAATTAAAGCATGAATTTATCTTGGTGCAAAAAATGTTCACAATGCATGCATAGCTTTTGCATAATACACATTTCCATAAACTTTTTGAAGACCCCTTGTTTGCATAGATTTTTAAAATGTACCAAAATAATCTCATCTTTTTTCTTTCCACAAATTTTTTCAGTACCCTCATAAATTTGTCTTCCCTTCTCTAAAATCTTTTGCATTTAAACTGAAAACTCCAAGTTGTGCTTGTTTGTTTTGAGACAGAATACTAAAACAAAGTAAGCCAAGTTTTGATTGATCTGAGGGATCTGTAAATACATATTGGGCCAAGTTTAAGAAGATAAAGGAATAAAAGAAGGGTATTTGTTCTGTCAGTATTGCCAGTATAGGCAAAATAATTGTGTGGCTTTGGCTGATGAATACAGTAATCAATGAAATCAGTTTTTAAAGATAATGCGTTCCTAACATTTGTTTCTATTATATATTTGTTATGTGGTTTTGTAACAATATGTACAAGTTTCAAATAAGTAAAATTTTCTTCTATTTATGATTAAAAACCATTGAAGTATGAAGAGCAGTCTGTTTTGCCTCTCGTTACTAACCTGGTTTTCTCTCTCTTTCAGCTCACCCTGAGTTCTTGAAGCGGCCTGCCAGTCTGTACGCTCGCGAGTCTATGGATATCGTGTTTGAGTGTGAGGTGACTGGGAAACCAGCTCCAACTGTAAAGTGGGTCAAAAATGGGGATATGGTGATCCCAAGTGACTACTTTAAGATTGTAGTAAGTATACTGCTTGTTTCTGAAACATTGAGATGCTCTGAAATACAATCACTGAGACACCAGTTATCATCTCTACCACCGTTTCTGTTCTGCAAGTGAAGACAGGACAGTCCATGTAGAATGTGCTCCCTGCAGTGGCTGACGGGAAGCATTTGGACAGCGTGTGGAAGACCTCATGGAGTCCAGCAGCAGGCCAGTCGTGCCCTGGCACTCCTTAGTACAGTGCTGTGAGCGCACACCCCACTTGTCTTTAGAGCTGTGTGGTCAGGAAGAAGAAATGATACACACACACACGCCCCGTAGTATGCAAAGGTGACCCTTTTGAAGAAGCCACATCAACTGAGAATGCAACCGAGTGTTCAGAACTCCATGTCCGGGTGGCCCGGACCCTTCAGATGACATAGCCCAGTGTCAGACGATTACTGACACAGCTGCGTCCTGTCGTATTGGGTCTGTCTGCCGAGATGATCATCGTTATCTCACATCCTCAAAGCCGAATTATCTCATCCTTATTAATGATAAGGATTAATGATATACTTAAGATCTCTATATGACTTGGCATTTCATAAAAAATGATTAAAAATAATTATTTCTGTCAGAAACATACTGTCTCATTACAGATTTGCCATCTGAGTTATTCGTTTTCATAGAAATGTTTTTTCTGCTTCTGAGATGCATAATCTTATGTCACAAAATAATTTACAAGCATTTAACAAGAGAAGACAGTCTGTCATGATTAAGTTGACATTCTTTATTGCTATGTGCATGCTGTTTTCTGTGTTTTAAAACCCTATTTTACATATGTAGCTATATTTGGCATTCATATAGGACTTCTTAGTTTAGGGAAAGCTCATATGTAAATGACTTCATTCAACTTATTAGAGTATAATCTGAAGAATGGTATTCCTTGCAATCTTAAGAAGATAATACCATAAATTCACAAATTCACAATGCTAAGTGACTTCTACTACAGTCACATAGTATTGCTTGCCAGATATTTTTCCAAGAGAAGCAACGAATCTGTGACTTTCCACAAGTTCTCATTGCTAATTACAAGATCTGCTGGCCTTGCCAGCCAAATAAAGCACTCATAAGTGCTTTAACATAAAATTGAATTAATGGGCACATGAGCAAATATTCTATGGTTGAGTCATAATGTTTTGAGGGGTTTTTTTTCCTTTCCTCCCCAAAAGAGAAAGGTATCCTTGAGAGTTTGAAACTAGTATTTATCAGCCGAATCATGGAACTTTATTTATGTTTTCTTCTCAGAAGGAACACAACCTTCAAGTGTTAGGTCTGGTGAAATCAGATGAAGGGTTCTATCAGTGCATTGCTGAGAACGATGTTGGGAACGCACAGGCTGGAGCCCAGCTCATCATCCTGGAACATGGTAAGGGGTGGAAGCCGCAGGACAGCAGCGGCTGACTCTGATGGAGGTGCTGGTGCCTGTCACCTCGGAGGGCCTCAGGATGGGTGCCTTACTTCCTCACTGAGAGAAGGAGACGAGCAGTCAAAAGTCATTTTTTTTTATCACTTAAGGCTGGTATTTAAAAAAAGCTGAACCAGTACATACTTTTAACATAGGTGAATGCTTTTCTGAATTCAGTCATCTTGGTCTCACAAATACATTTTTATCCTGCAAGGAAACAAACTGTAAGATTTATTTATGTACTTGGAAGGCATAGTTTAGAAAAGAGAGAGGGAGACAGAAGATCATCCATCTACTGGGCCTGTGCCAGGCTGAAGCTGGGAGCCTGAACCTCCATCTGGGCCTCCCCTGTGGGTGGCGGGGCTCCAAACACACAGAGCATCTTCTGCTGCTTTCCCAGGTGCATTAGCAGGAAACTGGACTGGCCTATGAGATGCCAACATCACAGGCAGATGCCACACCCAGAAAAACTTAGGATGGTATTTATTTTACATTGAATTTTTCTTCAGTTTTCTCTAAGTAAGTGTGAAGAGTCTTTTATAAGAAGTTCAGACAAGATTGAAAAGTATAAACCGGCTGTAGCATCAGAGTTAAATCAGGGGGAACCATATGTACTTCGAGCAGGAAAGCCTTATCGTGATGAGGTTTTAGCAGTAGTGATGGCATGGGGTCATCTGGGAGGAATCAAGGAGCTCCAAAGACTGAGTGGCGAGTAGAAGGCCTGGTGATAAGCCCTGATCTGAGAGCCCTTCCTAGAGCTGGAATCCATCCTTGTTGGAGTGAGTATGGCTATGCTTTGCTGGGCAGCACTGGAGTTGACGTGGTGCTTGACTATCATTCAGAATCCTTTCTCAGAGGTGCCAGGGAGAGTCTGTGGCAGAGAAGCATGTCCCCAGAGGTATTCTACTGTGACACTACCTGTAGGATTAGGTACTGGAAACTACTGAATGGCTATGGGAGCCTGCCCAGGTAGCATGCTTAAACCAGGCAGGCCTCACCTGGCTTCAGTTGTATCTCCACTGAAAAGTTTAGCATAGATATCTTCATTGGCTAAAGGAAAAATAGATGAGGGCCCAGCCCCGTCTTTGCAGAACACACAGTGAAATCTGAATTTGGAATCATGAGGAAATAGTATGTGGTACATTCTCCAAATCCAGCCACCTAGGGATGCTTGATAGGTATACACATGGATGTATGTATGTTTTTGGACCCTCTGTTTTCTTGTAGCAGCATACTATATATCATGAAGTATACATCTTAATGTATACTACACATCTCCATATCATCAAGTATAGTTTGACATCAGCCAGTGTTCATTGCTCGATAGTCATGTACATTTTGTTTTAAATGATTTCCTATTCATTAGCATCTCAGCTTTTTTTTTCATGTTGTAAGTAATTCTGTATTGGGCTGTTTTGAGAGGCAGAGGGAAAGACTTGGTCCTCTTCTTCTGATTCACTCTCAGCCGCCCACAGTGAATGGGGCCTTGCTAGGCGACAGTTTGGAACTAGGAGACCATTCATGGGTGGCAGCCCCTAACTACCTGAGCCAGCTCCCAAGAAGCTGGACTCAGAAATGAATCAGGGCTCAAGTCTAGATCCTCCGCCATGGGATCCAGGCATTTCCACCAGGCTTATCCACCAGGCCAGATGCCTGTCCCTTGAACTGTTTTGGTTGGTTATTTTCTCACGCAAAATTACTTTTAAAATGTTTGTTGGATTATGGTTTGTGTTGATTAGGTTGTCTCTTGAGTATATTATTAGTTTTAACAGCTAGAAGCATGTTTCATGATGAGCATTTCTCAAGGTATCATGACTAAGAAACCTCTTTACACCTCTGTGCTATTTTATCCCAGTCTGGTGTGGTCCAGATCAAATCCATCTGACAGACCAGGAAAGCAAATAGTGTGTTGAGGTTTCATGTGCTGTTTCAAAGAATAGGTGTCACTGGTGAATTCTACTATTAAAAAAGGTATAAGGTAGTAGCGTGCTTTTGCTCTTTGCATATTAGTGTGATTATATCCTTCCCTGTTTGTTAAAAGTGATTTCCATAAAACTTGTTACCTGCCTGGAAAAATGACTCAACAGAGTTAGTTGCCAGATAGGGTGCTTGGCTTGGTTTACATGGAACGCAGCGTAGAGACCTAAGTGATGCCTGTATGTGGAATCACTTTTATAAATCAAACTCTGACAGTGTAGGTGGTCGGCTGTTTCCACAGGTCCCCAAGCTCCTCCCGACTGCCTGCCCTCTGTAAACCCCAGCATGGTATAGCAGTTAGAATGTTTGGGTTTTGTGTCCTTCCTCTCTCTGAAAACCACTTCTTAGGAGCCGGCAGAAATTTTTAGTGACCCTTTGGGGAATACCTTAAGGATGCATGGATTTTTAAAATGGAAAGCATGTGTCATGTTATTCGTGTTTCCTGTTTTGCTGTTTAATTTGCAAGATAAATATTTATATGGAGAAACCAAAAGAAGGAATGCAACCGTTTATAAGACCTGACCCTCTGCCTCCCTGGAGTTTACAGTATAGTAACGGCTGTAAGAGATGTACACAACGTAGTACCAGTCAAGATTAGGGTTATTTTTGTGGAACTAATAATGCAGCCCATGATTCAGAAGACAGGAATTCTGTCTTTGTAACCTTGGCATTTTTTTTTTATATATAAGATCTGCCGTTTCCAATAAGAGTTAAAAGATAATGCTTCTAGATATTCATTAAAAAGATGGTCTTGATTAGCATGGAAACCACATGGAGAACCTGTCCCAGGGGGAACATGGGCTGTGATGGCAGGATGGGACGAACAGTGCCGTAGTAAGACAGCCCGGTGGTAAACTCAGGATTAATTAGGGAAAAGTAGAATGCACAATATTCTTCTCAGAAAGCACTTGTGCTGGAGATGAAGAGAATGAATCTTCATAAAGAATTATTAGTGATGGGTCTGATTTGCAGCTGTCCGCTGATTGGATAGTCAGAGTTGTTAAAGACCAAATATGGACAGGGTTGGACTACCTGGAGGTCTTGGTTACAGACACAGTTGTTTGCTAACCCTTTGCTCCACAGGTTATTCCAAGTCAAGTTAGGCAGCTCAGGAAACTAAAGAAGGCCATCTTGGTCTGAATGTGAGGGAGGAGGTCTGCCCTGCAGGAAGATGGTCACAGAGGCCTTTCTGTTTACGTGGATGCTTCTCCAGCCAGTGCAGGAGGAGCAGGACACCTTAATTATGAGCGTCTGGAGAGAGAGGGCAAAATGCCTCTGCTTCTAAGGGAGAAACCTTCTGACCCCTGAGACCCACTGTGGCTAGGAAAGGGTGGAAGAGAAAGTATTTTCTTCTGTGGAGATACAGAAAGTCAGTGTGGACCCCAGGATGCTACGCCATTACCAGGAGACGGGGAAGAACAGGAAATTGTAACATGTGCCCAACACACATACTAAGAGCCACATGAACTTACTGAAGACTGAAATTGGGTCATGACAGTGGAAAATCCCACCCGCCCTGTCTGTGGAACCTAGCAGCAAAGCTTCCTACTGATTAGAAGAGGTTGAGAAAGGATGGTAATCCCTGTGATATTGATATAGGTGGAGATGGAGAGGCAGGAAAGCAGGCAAAATAGAAAACATTGGACAGTGGAAGAAAACTACCCATTCAGTAATTTTGACACTCAGGAGAGCCTCAAATAAGCAAAAACAGTGAAGTCCATACCAAGCTCAGTTTCTTACTGGGTGGACTAGTTCCCCCACCACCACCTCCCCAGAATCCACCCACCCATCCGTGGCTTTACAGGATAGGTGTGGTGGTCTCCAGGTTAGCCCCACTGCTTTTGTGCATACCATGTTCAACACCCAGACTTCGGTTAACCAGCTCAGCAAAGCAGAGGCCTACCTGTGTGGAAAGAACAGGTGGCCGGACCCAGGTTAGCCTGTGTGACCTCTGTACAGAGGCAGCAGAAGCACATTCTTGGTAACTACATCGTCCACATCTCATTCTTTACGTAACTCTCTTCTAAAAATTTCTTGTAGGTGTTTAAGATTAAACAAAATCATGAACTGAAAAAATAAAAGAAAATTAACATGTCACCCAGCAGTCACACTCCCTGCCTTCGCCTGTATTTGCAAAAGCAGGTGACAGGGACCCACTGGCTTTCTCCAATGCAAAACAAAAGTGATTTATAATATAATACCAAAGATATAACGGAATAGCACAGATTGTATAAAGCTGGATTTATTTGAAAGTACTTAGGAAATTTCCACACAACACAGATCATATAACACTGTTTGAAATGACCATAGTTTGAAAAAGCTTGTTATAACTCTAGAGAAACCACGGAGCACAATGAAACCTTAAAAACTGCTCAGGTGAGTAATTGTGGGAGTTGAATAAGAGGGACAAAGGAAGAACAGCTGGTAAGATACACTAAGTTTAAATCTGTTCTTATCAATTACTACATTAAGTACCAATGCGTTTAAGGTAGAAGACAAGGATTTAAGTCATAGAATAGAAGGAATGTTCTTTGACCTCAGTGACATTAAAGTAGAAATTAGTAACAGCTATTTAGAAAACTTCCAGCTGTTTGGAAGTTAAGCACCCATTTAAATAACCCACTTTCCAAGGAAGTCATCTAGCAAATTACAAAACATTTTAAACTGAGTGATCATGAAAATACAGCTCATCAAAGTTTGTGGGGTGAAGCTGAAGTATTTCTTCTGAGACGGATTTTTGAAAACTAAGTAGAAATGGGCAAATTGAGTCTAAAACAACAAGAGGGAGCGTGGTCCTGAGCAGCAGTAACAAAAGGGAAAGTGGAGAAAATCAGTGAAATCAAGATCTGTGTCTTTAAGGAAATTGATACAATTGGAATGCTTTTAATCCTATCACAGAAGACGGAAACACAAGGGAAATCCAGCTTGGTGCCAGGAAGTGTGAGGAGGAGGACAGCAGAGCTGGTGTGTGCGTTTAACCCAGG